TGGTGTCTCCGGTTTCCTCCCCGTGTTTAGATCACCGAGGGGTCACGCAAAACCAAACCTTCGCATTCGTGTATTGGCTTACCTGTTTGGTCAGGGCGCTTGAGCAGCTGCCCTCAGGATGACCTGCAGGTCCGCCGACCGTCCCTTATTGCCGCGGTATGTCCGCTACGAGACCAGGCTGTAGCTCCGTCCAAGGTCGCAGCGATCCAGGCCCAGTCCGCCAGAGAACAGCCACGCATCGTAAACAGCCCGCAGAGAAAGAAGCAGAGCTCGCTGTCGGAGCGCCAGCGGCTCGAGCCGGGTCTGAACACGAACCGTGAGCGGTCGCCTGGTGGGGCTCTCGCATACACGGGCCTATGCGCCGCACAGCCTCTCATGCACGTGGTTTTCCGGTATGTGACGGCTGCCGCAGTGACGTCAGTGTCTGGCTCTTGAGGAGCAGCCGGAGTGTTTGGAAGGCGTGCAAGCTGGAACCGAGCGGCCGGTTCGGTCTCAGTATCCTGATGTTCAGCGTCCCGGGCAGACACCACTGCGGCGGCCGGCTCAGCACTATATAGGCATGTTGCATGCTGCATTTTTAATACGTTGCCAATGCAGACATATGCTTTCAACCGGGAATAAGCTTCAGTACTTGCAGAACATATTTTACCGCTGTGCGATGTTAACTATGGGAGGCTTTGAGCACACCGCTTAATGCTCCCTACATTTGAAGCTACGGAGATAAACGTAAAACCTTATGCATCCCGCCCTGTTCTTTCTTCCACTTACCGTAATTTTCTTGTTTAAAAATAGCATAAGCCTGTAAATTCTTATAGGCCCCACTCTCCCTAAAAGCCCGAAAACGTGTACCATACCAGTTCCTAATTGGATTGAGGACATTAGGTGCTTTTATCTACTTCTTTAAAATCTCTCGAAAGCCCGAAAACGGTGAACCATACCAGTTCCTAATTGGTTGAGGACATTAGGTGCTTTTTGTCTACTTCTTCAAAAGTTTCAGTAAACACCGAATCTTCTAGAATATTTAACTGATGCTCCCGGCATTCCAATATTGCAGAGTTAAATGACCAGTCGAAAACAGTCGTATGCAAGTATGCAGCAGTTCAAGCCATCATTGGGTGGATGCGAGAGCCATCAGGGGTCTGTTGATGTTTGACATTATGCTGGGTTAGGCCAGGCACACCCCAATGGAAACTCTTCATCGGAATTCAGCGCCCACGAATCAACGCACGCCTGAGAAAGATGCGAGGGATCGGCACAGGCAAGAAAAGCGTGAGCGGAGGGGGAGGGGTGCTCCACGTTTCCCCCCCTCCAAAGGAAAATGACATTATTCCTCTAACACAACTGCGCTCCCATCTCCTACTAAACGCAATCGATGCTTCCTCTGCACATGCTGACTCGCCACCCTCCCCCCCCCCCCCCACATCCTGTGACTGCTCCTGGAAGCGATGGGCTGGGGTCGTGCGAGGGTCAGCCGTGACCACTCCCGTCGAATAAACAAACACCAGTTGATACTGACGGGGACCCGCCGTTCCAGAGTTCTTGGTGGGCGAGGCGGTACGCCCCGTTCCGAGCCGAAGGTATTATGGTTACCTCTTGGAACGGTGGAGCGGAGGAATAATCGCCCTCTATTTCCCCCTCCCCCAAATTCTCTAAATTCCTTCCCCGCACCCTGCGTGATCCTCAATCTTCGAGACGTGATGAGTGTCCAGTCGGGGTCTGGCCGTTCTTGTCAACGCGTCGTCGCATGCATCTCAGTTGATCTGTTGTCGGGAGATAAACATGCGCTACGTGTCTTATTCAATGAATCCGAATTGTGGGTATTAAGAGAGGGCAAGTGTTTCGCTGGCGAAATAATTGCATGGAAAAAATGACGACGGTAATTGGTGCATAGCGCTCTTTCCCGTAAATATTTGCCTGGCCCCGCGTCCAGAAACCATCAAAAGATTATTATTATTATCTTATTTTATTTATTTTATTTTATAGTTATTTTAGCAAGACACTTTGTGCGAAGTGAAATTTAGGAGTTAATAACTACGGAATTCTCAGGGTTGGTTTCATTTTTAGCTTGGTTGGGGGGGGGGGGGGTAGCCTCACCATCTTGAATTGCAGCCCCTTCCCAAGTTGAAAAGGAAGTGACTGAATCCGTGGAAAGATTCGTTTGTTGGCGAATTTTGGAAGCCAATTGCGCAAGATTTTCATTGTTCAGCTCAACATCCCTACCCAGCTGACTTTGAAGAGTTATTTACACACATGGTGAGCATTATCAATTGTCATTAACGGCAATCATCCAATTTCCATGACGTCACTATCACGAAGCTTACTCTGATGGAGGCAAATACATTTGGGAATACCCATGAATGGTTTTGATTATTGTCTTGGGAAGTCGACCTGTCATGAGAGTTTAGTAGTGGACAGCGATTCCGCGTCACAGGCTTCGTGGTACTCATTCACAAAACGCATATGGCTTGGTAATTGTCTGGTCAGTGCTATGCCCAGGCCGAGTAATTTCAGCTGACGAAGCCGATGAATTTATACTGATATTGCTTCTAGCGTCCATGGATCAAACACATTGAACATTCTCTTTTGCCGTGCAAAGTCACAGAGCCAATACCGGCCAAGGGAAGCACAAATGGGGTTACATGAGTCACCAGGATGGTCAACAGTGTTTCCCTCTGCATGATATGTTTTCGGTGAGCTTTGTGTGGCGCTCGGCGGCTGGTCTCTGCAGTTTTGTTGCCGACGTCTTTTATCGCGCACGCTCCGGGATTCCCGCGCTTCTGATTCAGCCCATGTCTGGACTTCATTGGTGGTATCGCGGATATCATTAGGCCATTCGACGACCGAAATAAGATTACCCTGCGATCCCTAGGACTTTTCATATCTTTGCTTATGTTTATATTTCAACACCATGCCATAAAAGTAATGTCGAGGAAAAGTGAAATTACGCACCACATGACGACAGTCATTTGTCTGTCATAGGCGGAGGGATATTTCAGAGATTGGGGCACCAAAACAATTTTTTAGGTCGATTCTCTCCATGCGCCACCATACAGCTAATGCTCAGCAGTCTCGGAAAGTGGGTGCGTCGTGACCGCCTTGGACTCCCCCCCCCCCCCCCGTTCTTACGTCTATGGGTTCTTCTACAGAACTGCCTGAGCATCATTAGGGCCAAACATGCATTCCGCACCTACTGTTCATGTGCCGCATCTTTATTGGCGGAAATGCAGCCTAGGACCTCTGTTCTACGCCTTGAGTGCAGCGCGCGGCTCTGCAAAACCGTTCGCCTTGGGTCGAGGCGTACGTCTTGCAGAACAGGTAATTTTCGGTTATATGTCTTCCCAAAATAAACATAACTTACCATGTATCTTTAGAACACACATAGCCAGAGTGCCGCGCGGATGCAGATGTTAGTTTTGTAACCAACTTATCTCAGATATATAAGCTTACCCCCCGAGTTCAGATTGCTTCCTTTGATATGATGCAAGAATTCCCTCCAAATTCTTTTATACGACGGCCGGATGTGGATTCAATATGGTAGTGGCCCCTTTGCCGCGCTACTCAGACGTTTCTGGCTGCGGTGTTTTGGGGAATGTTTCTTTTACATTTTATATCCGTTGTTGAACGTGACGCTTAGTTTGGTAGTTAAACAATTGCAGATAACCGCGGAGTCCTACACTTAGTGTGCGTATACAGGTACATAGCATGGAATCAGCGGTCATTTCAACAGGAATTGAATTTGGAATTACTTAAGTGTGAGGCAGTGGCGTGGCTCTTAAAGACGTTGCGTTCCACAAGTTCGGTACAATTGTAACAACTATTTGTTTGATAAGTGGCTCTCGCAATGCTACAATTGAAATGAAAGTGTAAGTGTGGCACAAAATATAAGTTTGGCATTTGTGCAATATTATGCTTATTATTGTGTAGCAAATTTCTGCTGGAAATAATCTGATTCTAAGTTGAGTGATGCTGATGTTACTTGTAGTTGTATCACTTCAGTTCAGCATCATCACATGACAAGACATTTGGAAAACAAAAATGTTTCGAAATTTTCTGCTAAAATTACATGTAGCATAGCAAGAAGCTAGCAAGTAGCTAGCAATACTCTCATGTAGCTAGCAAGTTGAGGAGAGTAGTGAGGGTTATGGTTCTAGACATTACCTTGTGATCATTGCAATCTTTGAGTCTTAATGTGGGTAGTGTTTGACTTATGTCTGGAACATATATATATATATATATATATTCATGTACATTTATCATGAATATTCATCATGGTTAACTATTTACCATTGTTTTGACCATGCTGGCAAGACTGCCCATAAGTTCCGTACCACTCATTCATCACCCACTGATTTGTTTAACTTACAAATGCTGTGTTTCTAGGTGCCTCAATCATGAATGATATACATCTGGCAGGATGTGTGTTGATTATGTCAGCCTCTGCAGCTCAGCTGTCAGAGTTGGTAAGTTCATTCTAAGTTTTGTGCTATAATTTGGTGTGAGAAACATGACTGATGATGCAAGCAATTTTACTCATGCTCTATAGTGTGCCAACATAATGCATCCCTTTATCTGATCTAAGCACCACATAACCATTGACAATCAATGCATTTGACTCATGCTTGCTGCATGTCTGTGGGCTTTTCCATGCATGTTAAAAGGATAGCTGCTAGATCATCACCTCCCATTGATTGCAGGGGAGAGCTCTCTACATGACAGCTTTCATCAGTGGCCGCTTTTCAGAAAAACCTAGGGGAGTTTAACATGAGAAGTTTTTGTAAAATTGCATTTCATTGGTCTGCATATAAGTTATATTTACTTTGTTCAATGTTGGGACAGAATGCATGGTGAAATCAGTAAAGTGGAATACTCAGAAAATGTAGTTGTGTTTGCTCTTTACCACATATACTGGCTGACTGCCACTGGAAATCATCCTTTGTTATAGCCTGAGCATTAATGTGTGTGGATGCCACAGATGCAATAAGTGTGGATACAATGTGTAGATGCCACAGGCAAGTAATCACACTAGGCCAGAGTTCACAATGTCATTTTCCTTTGTTGAAGTATCACGCACATCATCAAGGCATGGTAATTACAAATCATACCTAGCATTCCAGATGGCACAATGCCATTGTGTTTTATCCAGCCTTGTCTCTCTGGTGGATGCTGTCTCAAATAGAAACTGCGCAACAGTGGGTTACCCCCATGACAGAGAACATTTTCTGACATTTTCTGACATTTTTCATCATGACATGCTCATCATAGGGTTGTCTAGCTGGTATGTCCATATGACAGACTATATGACAGACTATATGACAGAGTACATGGCAGACTCAAGCCATCACATGGCATCAGGTCTGTGAGCTGTCCCTCTGCTTGTTAATGCCCTGCTGAAGAACATCAGCACACCAGAGAAGTGGTTGGGGATGGGATGGCTGTGGGATCCCCAGACAGGGTGCCCATGTGACCCTGTCGTGGCTGCAGGCATCGTCGGAGGTGGCATCGGCGGCCTCGGCCGCCTACTTCGTCCGTCAGCTGTTCAAGGAGGACGCCGACATTCAGCTGTACGAACAGAACAGGATCGGCGGCCGCCTGGACATGGAGGAGGTCAACGACCACTGGTCGGTGAAGTCGGGTTTGGAATGCTGTAGTGATTAGTAAAAATTATGTCTGAGATTGCGAATATGAGAGGTTCGAGGACTTGCGCTGGTGAAACTGAAGGCTTTTGGTATTTGATATTTGTCCGGGATTATCCACTAAGCCATAAGGGTTTTCAACGTGATTTTCTAAATTCTAATGTGTTGAGTTTAAGAAACGACTTAGTCGTTGCTATCGACTACTCACATGACGATTTTGCCCCAGGTTCGAGTCTGGAGGCTCTATCATACATACCAAGAACAAGTACATGATGGATTTTATTGATAAATTCGGTAAGTGCTCTTTGCGGTTGCGTTGGGAGCCACCGTCACTCGCATCCGCGCTTCCGTATAAAAATGTCCCGCGCTCACGTACTCTTCTTGCGTGCCTCCTTTTCTCTTGCAGCCCGTACGCACGATGTTTTGCGAATACGCACGTACTGGCACGTGTTTTCACCGAGTGTTTCTGTCAGTCGTGGTGCATGCGTGTTTTTCGTTGGTTGTCGTCAGTAACGCTCTGCTGTTTCAAAAATCATGAT